TAAAGATGATAAGGTGAGTGGATTTCGGTCTTGTTTTATATATGCAGGTCGCTGTGGGGACATTAACTGACGAGGGCACAAGGGCGATCTTGAAACTTTCACGTGATGAAAGGATTGGTGATCGAATTTTTGCTAGCATAGCTCCAAGTGTGTATGGTCATGAAGATATTAAACGTGGCATTGCACTGGCACTTTTTGGCGGTGAACCTAAAAATCCTGGTACGTTAAGAGCTAAAAATTTTCATTGTTGTTAAATTATTTGGAACTCCAGTATATTGCAGAACCTACTGAAGGGTGAGTATTTCGTCTGTAGATCACCAACGTAGACGATCTATGTCGAAATGATTGAAGGCCTACTCGAGTTAGACGTGAATAGTGTGACGAACCAACTAACGTCGAAGTCACGCCTCGTGGTCAGCACCTTACGTGGACTACCCCCATTGACGTAACAAGGTACTATAGATGCTTTGAAGACTGTACAACACAAAGGACGTTATTACAGAAATATATTAGTTAAGGTAGATACAGGCGAAAGTAAGACCACTGCCGCATGGGCCAGTCCATGGCGTATGATTAACTAATGCGCGTTGCTTGTACATGACCTTGGCAGGGAGCGATGATCTGTTCGACATTCAGTGATCCAACTGCCGGATGATTTGGCTAGGGCTCAGTGACATTTCACTGGCCCTACAATACTCCCCCACCAGATTCAACGGCCGTTTGAATCGGTACCAAACATGTTGGGAGCAGTCGCGTGCCAGAGTGCGCCAAACGAATATTATAAATTCTCCAGGTATTGCTTATCTGTAAAACAAATGGAAAGGAGGCGGCAGAAACTGGTCGGGAAACAGCGAGTCATAATATGTTAGTAGGACGTTGGTTAAACGTAAAGCGATTAACCGTAGGAATAATGAAAAGAACAAAACGTTTTATTGTTCTATCAAGTCGCGCTGAAATATTTAGCCTTGACAAGTAATTCAGTTCCTCCGATGACAAACGTTAAGTCTGCCGCAAGAGTAATGATGCTATAGCGATAGTAGGATAAGTGTATTATCAATCGATGTCCATATTTGTACTGTCATTAGTTTAAAGTTGTAAGTCGGACGGTGTCGTTGACAGCTATTAATTAGTGTCAAATTCTAGTTATATCTATATCTAACAGACTAACCGTAAGTACAGAAGTATAACAGTGAAGAGTGGTCGTGATTTCGTTGTGCGAAGCTATTGACCAACTTGTAGTCACAGTTTGAAAAGTCGATGACTGCTGTTACAGTCAGTAAGGGTTGAAGGCTACAAATCCACAGCAAAGGTGGCACGATGAAGTCTCTAAAAGATGATAAACGGTGAATGTTGCGTGTTTGTTCGGTTAGTGAACAGAAAAATATCGTAATGAACATAAGAAACCAAGAGTGTCACTCTGGACTCATGTCAATGATACCCGTGAAAAACGCTGTCAGTGTTGGGATAGAGGCGACAATATCGTTTTCAGTTTGCAGGAGATTCGCTCGACTGCATAAACTGATGATTCGCGCGAATGATATTGTCGTCAGACCACCAATTGAACTGGACAGGTTGTAAATCGTCAAGTAGTTGAACAGCCGATTGATGTACCGGAATCATCTGTTAAATAACAGCCACGAGGAAACAATACTTCATAAAATGAAGTACGTCATCGAAGTAGAACAACTACAATAGTTCAGATGTGTTACAATGTCAAGTCTAAATAACATCGTTCTTACGTATACTGACAGCTGCACTGAACGTTCGCTTAGGTATGATTAGCGTAACAGTTGGATGTGTGAATAAAAACATATACGAAAACTATGGTTGGGTTCGTGGAGAATTATCGAGGACGTTTAGATATTTTCCAAACCCGTATCGCATGTAAATAAACCGAAAATAGAATTAAAATGACTGTCGTGTAATAAGGAAATCGAGCCATGATTTACTGTGTGAATTATTAGCAAATACAAGGGGTATAATAAACATTAATTAAAATGGTAACCACCAATGTAACTAAGGTTTAGAGGGTCCAGGTAACGTAGCCATTTCGTAAAAGGCTGATACAAAGAGCTTATTACCTAGCGTTAAGTGACATATTAAGTACGACAACGTGTGTACTTGGGACATGGACTAAGCGTGCTCGTGTACATGCAATATGTTTTACCACAGTATATCGACTAAAACTTGACGGCAGTGACAGAATATATGACTAGTTTACGTGAAAGTAACTACGAAATGTTATCACGCATCATAAATATGGTACGAAATAATCTAATGAAATTATGAAACTCGCCTGGGGTTACTCTTGCCTTTAAGTAATGAAGTAGGCAGTAGTTTGAATCTGGATTATGTACGAGGTACTGTTGATTAAATTTTTCGATTAACACAGAGTTGTAGACTGACGAACAGTCTAAACGAGATCTAAGATCGCAGGAAATTTATAGTTCAAACTCACCGTGAATTTCTAGCATTCGTATCCTCTGTTTGGCCATGGAACTCAGCAATTGGAAATTAGGCAGGCAGTGGTAAAAAAAAAACAAAAAAAAACAGAACATTCTAGTGGATAGTGGTTAAGCAGAAAGATGAATTTATAGTTGATAGTTAATCTTGTCTTATTTATACCAGTGGATAAGGTACAAAGAGATATGCGTTCATGTTGCCTTGTGGCTATACTCACGAGTGGTTGATATTTTAACAGACATATTACACAGGAGCATTTACATGCTGCTAATGCTTGTTAAAGAACCACGATAGCCGATTATAATCGTAGTTGATTGGTTAGTTCTGTCGATTGAACGAATTATCTAGGTTTAAATGCTAATCAACATTGACATGAAGCAACGAAAGTTCACAGTAACAGATTAACATAGGCGATGATAAAAATGAAAAAAAATAAGTATAGAATACAACAATAAAGATTATAGTGATAGGTTGCGTTATTCGAAGTCTTGCTCACCAGTGTAGATCACCAACGTAGACGATCTATGTCGAAATGATTGAAGGCCTACTCGAGTTAGACGTGAATAGTGTGACGAACCAACTAACGTCGAAGTCACGCCTCGTGGTCAGCACCTTACGTGGACTACCCCCATTGACGTAACAAGGTACTATAGATGCTTTGAAGACTGTACAACACAAAGGACGTTATTACAGAAATATATTAGTTAAGGTAGATACAGGCGAAAGTAAGACCACTGCCGCATGGGCCAGTCCATGGCGTATGATTAACTAATGCGCGTTGCTTGTACATGACCTTGGCAGGGAGCGATGATCTGTTCGACATTCAGTGATCCAACTGCCGGATGATTTGGCTAGGGCTCAGTGACATTTCACTGGCCCTACACGTCCATACATCCGTGTCTAGGTCTGAAACCAGCCTGGTTCGCTCACGACGAACTCTAGTTAGACGTCCAAGCATTACTGAGGCTAATATTTTAGACACTAATTGAACTGATTTCTGTTCTTTTCTTATGAACTGAGACGATCAGCGGTCGAGGCCAGTCAGATAGGATTGCGTTCAGTTCGCAGATTTTAGCTGATACTCCGGTTACTTAAACTGCTAGAACTGGGTCACCGTCCTTAAAAATTTCGAGTTGATCCATCAGGTCCTGTTGTTCTCCCTCGCCTTAGATTACTCATAGCCTTTTCAACTTCACTAAGAGTTGGAGGGCTCGCACCCGGTTGCTTGGTGTTATTGGGTAACTGAGATGTGTCTGAAGGTCAGTTGAAGTGTCCTTTAAAGTGTGCTGTACATCGGTGCAATCTGGATTGAGAGTATATAATAGTACCGTCTTTCTCCGAGACAGTTTCACTAACAGCAGGGTTCTGAATATCCGTTTCCTTGAAAAGTCCGAACAGTTATCTATCGCCGCCGCCACCTATCTCTTCTGTTTTCGCTACTCACGATCATCACGTACGCTTAGTCGGCTCACGTTTAAACTGTTTCCGCTCCCCTTCGTGTTCGGAGCCAGACAAGATGAGTTTCCGAGTACCTGTCAGTTCTGTAGACACCGCTGGAGGCCACTGACTTTTCCTAGTTTTTTGCTTTAAGCTACTGGTGGACATCACTGCTGTCTCTACTTGTTTTTGGATATCTTTGCATGATACCTCTGGTTATGTTTTTGTTGTTTTCGCACTTTGAATAGCTTTGTCGCCGGAAACCCGTGTGTTATGATATGTAATATTCAGTTTAATCATTTCCTCTTCCCTTGAGAAGTCTGCGTTGCATTATATTGTGTTGTCGCACTATAAACAAGTTTCTGCTGTCGTAGCTTACTTTAGTTAATTGTTTTCCGCGGCCTCTTATCTTATATTGATGCTTTCAGTCATACTATTTTCTAACCGGGCTGTCTAACATCAGGGGTCCAAAGGAGCCTTTTTGCCGTGCAATGTGATGTGGTCGAGTCATCGTTAGGTTAATAGTTAAGGACGGCTCTTAAATTTGATCCCTCGTCTTATAAGTTCCCATCATATTTATTCTTAGTGGTATTGGACCATAAACACACAATCCTCAAAGCTGAAAACGAGACTACTCGGAAAATAGATATTCAATATTTAACGCGAAGAAATACCTAACGATGGAGAAGCCGCGAACAAGAAATTGGATGAATTGGAGTCGTTCGGATGGCATGGCTCGGCCTTGCAGGCGTGGTCCCTCTGAATGTTACCTTTTATCTTCTATTCATATTAAATATATTGTTCCTTGTCTAGGCGAACCTTGTTCTACATCATGTATTGGTAATTGATACGATACAGTGAGTTGGTGTAGTCGATGGTGTGACTACCTGGTAAGATCTTATAGATTAGGCAGTTATATCATGACAAATCTACAATTTTAGGATTAGGTCTATTATTAGAGCAGTACTAATATCATAGTAGACCATAATTCTACATATTCACTGGTTTGCACGGTCGATGGAGAGATGTGAGAGACATAGTTAAATACATTTACCTTTTCGAACTAATGCAATTATCATCAGCTACTACATAATTAATCATCAGGATCTTATCGTTATTTTTGTTCTACATCAGAACTGTTTGGGGTGTCAAACATAATTAATGTTAGGTGATGAAGAACATTTTTCAGCATACTACTGAAGGGAATATGCTTTACACTAAGAACTTTACTTCATGGGGAAAAATGTTTATAAATTTATAAACAAGTGCGGTCTCATGGACCGAAATTAATTTTGATCGAATTATTGAGATGAAGAATGACTGAAATTTATTTTCATAGAGGAAGATTGTATTTTTACTCATGAATTTGAACGCATGTAGAGATTCTGTCTAAGTCAGGAACATTTTGGAAGTGATGTTTGAAAAGAATACAAAGACAAACAATAAGATACAGGTGCCGAATAAACAGAATGCAAGTTACGATCACAATAAACCTAAAACAAAATATTTAATGAAGCTTTCAGATTTCTTCAAACACAGGACCTAGAGTCATCTATTTCACCGCTTAAAAGTGTCTGCAATTTTCTTCAAAGTCTCACCATCATCTTCAAAAAGTTCATATTTGTTTGCAATGTCTTTGATTTTTTCAACTAAGTGATGTGCAGTTTCTTTTTCACTATCTAGCAAACAATCGACTGCTAAAGAAAATTGTTTAGACCGTTGAAAACTTGCAAGAATCATAGAAACCTTGGATATTACGATGCTGATATTACAATCAGATGATGACAATATAGTGTCCGTGTTATCAACAGAATGATTTAATACTGAAAGTATTTCAGGTAAAAACGACACACCCAGTCCAGTGTTAAAAAGATTTTCCAATAGTTCATTATCTTGATTGAACAATAACTCCAATAAAGCACCATTTGTATTAATGCTGTCTGACGTGGAAGATGATTTGATATGACGCCACTGTACAATGAATTCCTGTGGAGTGGTAATGGACTTTGTAGCCTGCAACAAAGCCAAAATATGATACATATAAGAACAGTTTATTTGCGGATTACGTAAAAACTGAACAAACTTAAAGGCTAATAAAATGAATTTTTCGGTACGAAAAATTGTATCAGAACTACCGGAAAAATTTTGTATCAAACCGTAGTTTCTGATAAAATGAAAGTAGCATAAATATTGATAGCATTTAATATATATATATATATATATATATATATATATATATATGCAATAGAAACAAAGAAACGTGTTTCATTTAAAATCAGTAAAATAATAGGATAAACTGACTATGCATAGGACTTAAAACTACTCCCTATATTACTATTTTAGGATCAGTCAATATTTAGTAATTATACAAATTCATTTTTCATAACTGGTTGTTAGAACCATGCGGCACTCTCAATCGCTCAACCTATTTTTGTGCCACGATCTTTCAGTGTTAAGTGAAGAGAATACTTACTGGAATAGGGGATAGTGAAGAATTTATATTGAAATCGCACATATTTCAGTAAATGAATGACAACATTTACCTATACACTCTGCTGTTACAGTACATATTTAGCAGGAGGACAAGAACATTCATGAAGTTGAATTCATTCATAAGTTTTTTCTTCAACTGAAAATACAGAACAATAGCTAAGTTCATTTAAATTTTTGATGCTTATTTCCTTTTAACCCACTCTCCTTTGTATATTACTTTATACCACTTATTCGAATTCAGTAACACTTCTCATAACCCTTGAGCACCCTGGGTAGCATACATATGATATCACACATTCCTAAGTATTCACGTTGGCCGATAACACCCAGGTTATTTGCTGTCGCGATCGCTTCTTATTAATACCTGCTACAGGTATATTCGATTCCAGTATATCTGTAAAACGTTGGTTTTATTGTAACGGTTTCCACATCTTGTTGTTCGTCGTTCTCATTTTGAAATGGTCTGCCAGTATTATCACTTCATTCTGCTTAGAATATTTGTTGACATTTCACTGTTTCAAAATATTTTACGTTATAAATAAATAGCATATATCTGAGAGATATATATCCATCAATACCCTAATAGTGTTTGAAGTAACTAGAGGTGAGTACTTACGATAGCTGAATTCATTCCAGGTTCCATAAACAAGCTATTATTACTTGGTAATATTGCTGAATAGTTCCAGCTGGACTTTTGACCAACAGTATTGGTTAGTTCTAATCGATCCAAAGGCTTCAAGTGGCATCCAGCGACAAGCTCTCTAAGGAAAAGAAAGTGAGACAGCTTCGGTCGATAGATAAGCCAATCAAAATTTTTCAAGTGCTTAGATTATTCTATGCAATCTATTTGCATTGCAGCTGTTATTTGCAAAAGTGTTGTAATATCTTTTAGTACTGAATCAATTTTGAGAGCTGGCAAAAGGGATAGGACTATTAAAATACAATAGATATATGCAGAGTTTGACTGTACTGGTTGGAATGTAAACTCCTTTACTTTCAATAAACTAGTAAGAACAAGTATTCCAAACTAAAATCAGTTTATTTTATGCGGCTCACTATCAGACTACAGTAGATATTTAAACTGGAGCTAATGGTCAAAAATATGAAACCATTTAATTCTGTATCGTTCCTTTACCTATGTAAACAAATAACTAGTAAAATACACAAGTCTATGCAGTATAATATATTTTGTTCAATGAAAGTAACAGAGAAATCATTCATTCACGATCCTGTTTGCAACGGTTCGTAAAGTCTGTCATAGAGACGATGAAACTATTTAAAAATGTAGTAAGAAAGCATAAAAACAAGGTGTAACCTACAGAATACCAGTTTTGATTAGTCAAAAAAGACAACAGCGAACAATTTAAAGGAATTACATATACCTACGATTAAAAAAACCAGCTTTTACAGTATAAAAATTGATATGGATAAGATATCCGAAAAATAATACATATCCCAATAGGGTGAGCGATTTAGATGAGAATTAGTATGTATGTCCATTTTGTAACAGAAGTCAACTGAAGCTTAAGTACATCTGTGGTGTGTGCTACCGATGTCGATAGATATAAGTAGTATGTATCATCAATCGAAAGTGAAATGCCTGGTGGCAGAGGGTTAAGAAGATCAAAGAAAAGAGAACGAGAACAGAGAGTGATTGGTGTGGAAACGAAAGAACAATGAAGTCTGAGACGACTGACTGATATTTTGCAAGTGAATTATATACTGTATGGTTCTCAGATTTTACTAAGATGTTCTGTAATTTTGTATTCAAACACATGCAATTGTCCCCATTTATGTTCTCGTTCAGTACATATCGTTTAAAAAAATTCTCAATAACATTACCGGAATTCTCTTAAATATGTGCTAAAAATGCAAAAATTTTATTGTCGTCCTTAAAGTCGATTTATAAGAACGATGAAATTTAACTTCGTATTTAAAAAGCTGGTCCGAAAAATTAATCACGATTATCCCTAGTACACAAATCAAGAAGCCTGAACAACTGGACGTGGTCTCAGTTTAACAACTAGTGACTTCACTGCCTGACATATATTTATTTGATCTTCACTAGCCTTCTTTTATTATACTTTGACATTAGATGGGGGAAAGAAACTATTTCTAGATAAATAGTGGGATTAAATATTTTTAAGACTAAAGTAGATTGATTCAATAAACCATTACTCACTTCTATTACATACCAAGTTTGTCCACCATCAAAGATTACCGAGTCTGAGTTTCAAATTTTCCGATGGATTTTAGGTATGTGTTTACACACACAAAAAATACGCAACGAAATTATTACTTCTTGGGTGTATTCCCATATACATCTGAATAAGTAAATACAGTGACATAACTATTCAGTGTTTCCAGGCTTTCAATGGTTGTCTAGCTCAAACTGACTCGTGAATTCAATTGTGAATATATATATTAATAAATTTTGATGACCAGTAAAGGATTATTTGTTTTCACAAAATATTTCGTAATCCAATTAACGTGATAGAGAGTTCATCTTCATTTATCGCTTACGTTTGATTTCGTGTTCAATCAATAATCAACCGTTATTCAATAACCTATACGGTATAATATCCGTAATAGATTTTTTAATGTTACGGCTTTATTTCGTCAAAAATAATTCAGCCAGAGCATTGATATTTTCATTTTCAAATAGATATTTGATTGACAATTTGAACACCACAACATGGGTATATATTTATTTAATATTCTGTTAACTATAGCAATAATACAATCTAAAAAGAAATTCTGATGTGTCCATGTCTAGAAAAAGTTACAACAATCAGGCATCGTGAAACTAATGGCGAAAAGAAAATGTAATTCAAATCGGACAAATAATGAAAGAAATGTCAGGAAAAAGTCATATTATCAATGCATACATAAAAATCTACTTTATGTTACTAACCTAAAATCATCATATGTTGGAACTCCTTGTTGAACAGCTCTAATTTTTGCATCATTTTCAAGCCAATATCTAGATTCTTTAGCAATAGCTGAATCCATTTCTTTTTCTAAGTTATTCATATTAATACCCAATTGTTTCAGATAATTATGATTTTGTTCAACCATCTTTCCAACTCTATTGTTATACAATACGATTTAAATAATTCAAAAAAATTAATATATACTACACAAGTAAAGTGAGTATTTTTATAGAGGGATATGTATATCATGAATTTCTTACAATGAAATTTTCACAGTCAACATATTTTAGAGAACAACCAGTTTAAATCTATTTGATGTCAGGAGTGTTAGACAATATGGAGGGCAAATCACTTTATGTAATAGTTAAACGGATTTGAATGTTCGACAGTTAAACAAATCTATTGTCACGTCTTTATTGTAAAAAGAACGTTACCTAAAAGATAAATCTTTAGATTAGTATCAACTGCTTTGAGTAGTAGCAACGACTAAGTGGTCTTCCTGTCGTTTATGCTCGTAAAGATAAAGGCGCCTTAGCATTTATAGAGTATTTAACACAAACATTCTAAGTTTCCTTTTTATATGTAATATTTATGCTTTTTAGCCTTTAATACATATCTACTAAAAAAGAAACTATGGTTGGAAAAACAAATACTACACAATTTTCTGTTTTCTTTGTATCCCATCAATTTGAATGATCTGAGTATTTAGGACATATATTTACGTTTTCTGAGTTAATGTTACAATGCCTAGGAATTTACAATGAATATAGCAGTCATTGTGGTGCATTCAAACAATTAAATAACTACGAAAAAAATCGTTCTATCATATGAAGTATTATCACACATGTAGCCGCAATCTAAAAATTTTTATAAATAAAACATAACCTAAGGTAATCAATTCAAGGTATAGGGAAGAAAATTATAGAGAATTAAATTAAACTGCCTTTTTTTCAGAAAGAAGTTAACACTTTGAAGGTTTTCTAGAAAACAAAATAACCTAAAAATAAAGGAGGTGAAACTTAATGTTTAAAGCTCAATCTGTCATTAGATTACCTAATATCATACTACTTAGTTCACAATAGTGGCCGAAATATGTCTATCAATTAAACAATGCTGGCTGGCATCAAGAAGCTTAAAACCCACAAACCAGTCAACAGGTTGTTGCAGATCGTTTATATTCAGTTTCCTATAAATTTTGTGCTAGTGTGTTTTATATTAAAAAAAGATTAAAAGAGTTAACAAATAATACCGTTTTCAACCATCAGGTAAATATGGAAGTGCAATATGGATAGGAACTCAAATGAATCAGTAACTTGAAGACATATATATGCATCACATTGACTTTGAAATCAGGAGCTTACCATTCTCTCGTAAAACACAACAAATACGCAGTAGGTTTAATAAGCATCACATTGAATAATATTGTGTTAAACATAATTAATAATCCAGTACATATTCTACCGTTACTGAAACAATAATCTTTCCGAAACTATTCAGTGTATAATTGATTCTTACGCTTAAAGTGATTATTAGCTTCATATGAAAGTCATCTAGCTAAGAAGAATTATGTTGTTAAAATAGAACAGAATAAACAATTAGACCAAACACCTTTCACACAGCTGTAAGATATATTAATGAGGAACTATCTTGGCAAACAGCTACATGAGAATAGGAGAAGTTGCCAACCATCTTCAAAAGATAATTTTGCACAGTGAGAAATCAAACAATACAGAACGTAAAGCACTGAATATATCTAGAGTAGATATATATTGCTCAGCGAGCATTATTCTGTAATATATAACAAACTCCATTGTTCAGTAAATTTATGGCATAGGAGTTGATAATCGAAATTGGAAATGTGAGACATATATAAGTATTTCATCAGTTTTTAAAGCATGAACAACAATGTTACAAAAAGCGTATGTTTCAAAGCAGTATTGTGACACATTTTATTCTATTTTAGCTAGTTGATCAACTTTGTTTTTTTTTCATTCCAATCCAACAACCAATGTTATCAAATTCATTTACTGTTACAAAAAATTTAAGTGACAGGAACGTTTAGATCCAAAAACGGTTGCTTCATTTCAAAAACAAAGATCATGTAGCACATCCAGGCATTGTAAAGTATTTCAATAGAATTATGAGAAGACGGAGTCGATGGGACAAATGTGATGTATTTGCGCTATACATTCCAAACAATCTGGTCACATATACCTCCCAAGGTATTTTATATGAAAATTAATAAAAGTCAATTAAATAAAGGTTCCTTGGAAGACATATTTGAAATAACTGGTCTTCTTGGTGACACTAATATTAAAGAAAAGACTATGCATTCTTTTGATGTAAACTCTCTTTTTACAAATGTAACTTTAGCCAAGACTGTTGGTTTTCTTCGTGACCATACATCGAGTAATTTACACCTTTTTCTTATTCACTCAACACTGTTGAAAGAACTAATTTTATTGTGTACCGCAAAATTTCAATTCACATTTGAAAGCGAAAATTTTCGACAAGTTGATGGTGTTGCTATGGGTAGACCTTTAAGACCTCCCTTAACTGATATATGTATGTCATATGTTGAAAGTATGACGAGTGAGCTCATCCACGAAGTAACTTTGTATAGGAGATACATGGATGATATTTAGTCATATGTGGTAAAGACTTGGTTGCTGCTTAGTTATTGCATAAACTCAATAGCGTACGGAATGATATCGTAATGACCAATGAAGAAAGTAATAATCGATTACCATTTTTTGGATACAGTATTGGTCAGTTTGTAGGAAGCCAACCTGAACTGAGCAACATCCACATTTTCCTTTTCTGTCCATCGCAACACAATTATGGCTTGATAAAGTGCCTTTTCAACAAGACTCAAAGAATATGCACTACAGATACATTTGAAGAAGATGCAAAACTGCAACCTGACACACTGATGTCAAACGGTTATCCACTAATGTCTGTAAATGGATGCGAAATTCAGTCGACACTAAAACCTCTTTTTAATTATGTTCCGAAGAAAACTATTTATTTCTCTCTACCACATAGTAGTGGATCAAGCAGTATAAGACAGAGACCAGAAATACCGATTGAGCAAACGATATTAAACTCCTAAACTGGTTGTGATTGGAAGTACTAAGCCAATGACTCCACATATGTCTAGGTATGAAATGTATGATCACGTCATGTTTGTGTGGACACAAATACATAGGGAGGAATAATCGGACAATTATCACTTCGTTTGCTGAATCTTCATTTAATTGACCTATATCAGTTTTCATATAAAATGTCTTGACAAATACACGTATGACTAGATTATTCGAAATGTATAGCGCAAACACATCATATTTTTCACATAAACTCCGCCTTATTGCTCTGTAGAAATTTATAAAATGGAAAATTTTCTTGATATTCCAACAGTATAACTGACAAGAAGCAAACATTCACAGCTAAAGTGTAAAGAGATACAGATTAATAGAATAATTTTATTATCTGAAAAAACATATCAAAATAAAGTTATTCAGAATATATACATAATATAGTTTCATTTTACTATACAAATTAGTTTACTACAGAAATAGTCATCATTCGACAACACCTTGATATATACAAATAATTAGGTGGATTTAACACGTTTGCGCCATGTGAACTTTTCAGATGCACTTAACTCATCCCATCTAGATAGTAGTTGCTCAGCTAACCAATCTTGAGTTGGTGGAGCATTGAATGCTGTACGATATTCACGTTTTAAAGATGGACCAATATGCTTTGCAAATAGTCTAAACGCAGAACGTATTAATTCAGGATCGTCACAATCAATATTTTCTTCATCTATATGTCCGGCAGAAGAACGCTTATAAAGAGATGGTCGATTATCATTAGCATGAATATTTGAAACACTAGATACATTTTCACACGTTTGCTTCACATTATCTTGAACTACTCGAATTTCATGCATACCTAAGGAAGGATTCTTTGAATTTGTACAATGTGACAAATTATTAGACTCTTTAGTTGAATATTTAGCTTCTGTAAAAGACAATAAATTACTATCAACTAATTCATCAAATGAGATAACAGATTGATAGTGTAACAAATATTCCACGATTTTCTCATCATCAAGTGAATTAACAACGGAAGATGTTTTAAGTGATTCAACCTCCACCAGAAGATCTCTTAAACACGATGCTAGTACACACGATTCAAGTACTAAGTTGGTATTATTCAACTTTATTTCCTCAATATGTTGCTCCAACAATTCACAGGCTTTCAAACGCCAATCTAACTTATTTTCACCAGAATTGAGTATTTCTTCACCATGTTGATCTGATATATCTGATGACACAGAACTATTCATACCATAAAGTGACTAATAAAAATCCACCTAAAATCAAAAGGAATACATAACAAGTAGGAAAGTAAGTAATAACTGAAATGAATAAAGTTAACAATCATTCACGTTTAACGAAACAAAAATTGTATCTGAGTGAAATGAAGTGGCTAACGTTATAAAAAATTTCTAAGAACAACCACATGTTTCTGAACTAGTAGCAGTAGAATCATTTACCCGATATTCGACCAAATGTCCTATAATTAGGCAGTTCCATTAGAATCTTTGGTGAGCGAATCTTTTTCAGTACATAAACAAAATGAGTTTTCTTGTTGCATTCTAAAAGATTTTTAAGATCCGAAATAGTTTAGCCCAAATTAAACAGATTCTGAATAACGTGAATTGACAAGAAACCCCGACAAGATTTTGTTCAGTCCTCTTTTAATGCCTCTTGGTTAGCTGTAACCTTAATCATTCGAGTATTAGTAGATTAGAATAACGCTAATTTGACAGATTTAGTCATAAAAACTGTTCAGTTATATATATATATATATATATATATATATATATATATATATATAACCCTTGATTTTATAACAATAGTGTTAAATTTAGAACCAAACACTCATGTGACTTAAGTCGTGATGCTTTTAAAACACAGCCAATCATACGTAAAGAACAAAACATTATCACCAAGCATTGTTAAATCAGTCATAAAGCATTGAAAAATCTCTTTGTCGGTTAAAAATAAAATAGCATTTTATTGCATCACAGTAAATAGATTTAATACACATATAGATTAATAAGTAAAAAAATCATAACAGCAACAAATTTGGATCATACATGAATACAGACGGAAGAAAATATGGAGCTTATAATGATACAAACCAAAATCAGTGGACAAAAATGAGATGAAAAACATGAAATGCTTCATAAATATACAAAATATATATAATCACAAAATATTTGATTATAAGAGGAAACAAAACGAATTCGATGTTACATCACAACGATTACAATGGGATTTTAAGAGCGGGTAAACATGGATTGATACGATTCATCCAGAAATTAGCACATGATATATGATAGCAACGACCAGCTAGATTAATATAAACTAAATGATAGTTAGTTTGTTGGTGTTGAGAAAAACTGGATGATTCATTGCAATGATTATTAACACACAGGTCATTAGTCAAGCTGATCGATGAAAGACAAACTCCGCAATATGAGGACGTGGTTGAATTAATGAAGTCTTGAATAACGAATTCATTTTCTGATGTTGAAACAAAATTAAAAGCCTGACCAATTTTATTCTGAAATCCAAGGAAGTTCATTACAAGTAAAAATGAAGTTTAAATAACTTTTCAATAAATAGTAAGGTTAAAAAATATAAAAAATGACTACTGGGAAATGGAATTTTTCCCCAAATATTACCGATATCAGTCAAGGAAGATTTCAAAATTTACATATTTATTCATTAAGCTATAGACACTAATTTGAATTCAGTGCTTTAAAACTCATATTTTTATTGGCTAACCCTAGAAGACATCCCGAAATTTTCGACAAATACTCAGGGCCTGTAACTATACTTTAGAAACTCTCACAGATCATTAGAAATAACAATTATTGTTTTAAAGCAACTAGTTCCTTTGATAAGTGTTGATAGCGTAATAAGAAGACGTCTTCTCATTACACTATCCAAATTATTATTTTGTTGTCCCTGTTTAAAAAAACAGGTAACCAAGCACATTGAGTCCTGTAATGAATAAGGTTCACCAAAAATGCCGAATTGAGGTTTCTATCATTAGATAGATAAAGGATATCAATAGGAAGTATTGTAACTGCATATTAGTAGACAGATTATAGGGAAAATCGATATTATAAACGGAATATCTACTACAGAGTTCGTTATAACTTTATGCAAACTCAACAGAAAGAGTAAATTCATTCGTTATTTATGTTTTTTAAATTTATGTCAGAAATAACAGTGGTTAGTAAAATTTTTTCAAGCGAAAATGATCTTTTACAAACATTAAGAGCTCACATTTTCGACCCAGGTATATGGTCGATCTTTAAAAGTGGTTATAAAAAATGTTTATTTACACTAACAGAAGTATTACCAACAAAGAATTATTTAGTCATAATCTATTAAAAATATGATTCTACAGTGAGATCCGAGATGAAAAGTTACTTTAAAAAGTATTATTACAACTCATTCGAAATCTTATTCTACTAACTCCCAGCTTCAATCTTGATCTTACATTTGTGTTATTGCTCATTTCTGTCGATTACTTCCATCACTGAATGTAAGTTCATTCTGTATGCTGAGTCGTCAGTTCCTTTCTGTTTCAGATTTTCCCACGCACTCCCTCACACACAACGTAAATTCAAGCAGAACGCAAACCAATATATGTTTGCAACCCATTGATGGACTCTCCCTAGGATGATTCCAGTCATTTAGTCGAGTTATACACTATAATAAAGAAGTTTGTTTCAGATCAACATGCAAATAATAAAAAATAACAAATATTTTAAAAATACCTTTAGATCAGTTACAACAGCATACGATGATAATTTACGAAATGAATTTTCAATATCCGAAAACAGTTGATGCATAGATGAATCAGTTACATCTAAATGTAAATTAAAAGATAGGTATCGGAACAATAAGAACCATATATATATGATGAATGTTTTAATAGTTGTTTAATTACGATCAATCTGTGAGATAAGCTGTAAAATCTAGCTTTGTAAAGTTATTATTCAGCGACATTACTTTTCTTCATAAAATCAAACGATTAGGATTCATTTAACCTAACGATTGAAACGTGGTAACAAGAATCGAAAACTTAAACCGATAATGCTAATTAAATAAGAAAGTGGATTTTTTGAGAACCATAACTACTTACTGTAATTCTTGGCTGAAATGCTAATTCGTCTCGTCATCAAATAAATTTCAGTGGCATCTGTAATAAAACGAAATAACATATATGCTTTTTGGTTAACTAAAGCAAAATGGTTTCAAAAAGTTACTTTAATTTGAAATCTGAATATGCCAATTCAAAGAAATTTCAGATGACTCGCATGACATAACTAATATGATATGACGAAAACTTATACAACGTTTGTGGTCATCGATAATGTTCTGTGTTCACTAACACTGTAGTAATAAGAACTTTCGGTCATTATTTCGTGTGTTTAAAAAGTATGCTCTGTGTAATTGAAATCTTCATCAAATAATTTATTTTCAGTGGCCGAATTAGTCTGTAAATGTCTTCTACTAATATCTTCGGTGTAGTGCATCTCTAAACGCCGGACGAAAAAATACAAATACAGGAAATGTTAGACTTCCAAATAAACAGAAAAAATGACCCAAAGTATTAGGTACGGTACGCTTAGTGAACAATGAAAACATAGCGGATAAATCCAGACTGTTTAACTCTCATATAGGTTTGATTTTGGAATATCCCTTTTTTATTACATCAAATTGATGGCTTTTCCATACAAATAAAACAATTAAACTATTTAGCATTCAGTTACTAAGATGTCATTGTTCGTGTATACTCAGATAACCAAGTCACTTGAGTTACAAGTTTTACATTTTCCGGGTAAAATGTAAATTCAAACTCCATTTTATTACAAGTATTACCGTGGTAAACGGAAAACTCAGGTGACGAAGAAGAATTTATTGTCCAATGCGAAATCACACATTAAAAACATCATTTGCACATCTTTGAATGGTTCCTTAGAAACCTCATCCCTTTTTTGTCTTGCTTGCTTTCAGTTTTCTCTCTTCTCCTCATGTCGGTCTTCCCAATATTCTGCTCGCAGACATCCCACTTCCTATTGGTGACATATACTAATTATATCTGTTAGCATACATTACAACACAACCGATATTTAATTTAGCAACTTCATAATAAATAAGAACTGGGTGAAAATGTTTTTATTAAAAATGATATATTCGAATTTAGGGAGTTTTGCAAATTCGAGTAATTTTGTACTTTTACATCAGTGAATGGTCATAGTTATAGAACCGCTGAAAACCTTAAATTGAACAACTATTTCGTCTCAATGTGAGACTCCTCAACAGACCACATACACGATCCCAATAGACACTGAATGAGAACTTTTAAGTAAATCAGGATGCAGTTAATTGTCATTTTATTAAATTTATAAATCAAGGGATAAAACCAGTTGTCTTTCTTTTAATAAATATACCAAATTCACCTCTTAAATGATCTCAATTTCTAATTACTTTGACATGTTTATGCAAAGCTGATGTGTGGAAGTGAAAGGGCGGTCTGCTTGAGCATCTGGGCTACCTGTTCCTGCCATCTAGATATTTCAACAGGTTATCTATTTTTGTGTTTTAATATATCACTATGTTTATTAATCGCATAACCTATTCTGCTGCGTTTCTGAAAGGTATACAACCTTTCATTGTCAAAGTTACAAAAAACTCAATAAGAGACAATGTGGTTGCTGGCAATATACGAAAAGAATGCACATTATTCGGATGTTCATTTACTGGACTGCTAACATCTAACTGGCGACCACTCGATATTTATCGCCAGGACCGACCGAGAAGGAAGAAACGGAAACTTGTTGAAGTACTTTACGCTGAGAATTCTATATTGAACCAAAAATATAATATTGAATAAAGCTGATGATTATAATAATAATAATAATAAAGTAAATGTGATCGGCCACTGAGCGCGGAGAAACAGACATTCAGCATACTGATTAAAATGTGATTTCCTTCCCTCATCAATTTCTACTGACTCACTGAGAGTGACCGGTTATAATTGTGTGCAATAAAGTATTGTACTCTGGTTTTCTGTTTCTGGTCCTGAACTTAGCATCTCATATAACGTGACCTAGTTTTTGTATAGCGTACTATTCCAGTATCCTATCGAGAGGTAGTACAAACTGGGTATACTGTTGAAAAAGATAAATTTTAAATTTCCACGTTGTATCTGCAGTCACATTTTTAAAAGTTGACATCAAATTTGTAGTCCCGTAATAATGAAGGTCCTGGAAGCAATCCGATGTGGAGCTTTGGATGCTAACTTTTTTCGAATTCAAAATTTCTTTATTTATCGCCACTGGCTTCTATTCTGGGCCATGTCTGATAACGTCTCTAGACACAATATTACACCATCTCTAGGACCCCAACCAAGAAGTCGTGTAGGACCAGAAGCCTGACCTGTACAGCTTTCTTCCACACCACGACACCATGTCATGCACTGACCACTTCTCCACCTTTTCTAACCGGTCCCAACGTCGGCAAATAATGCACGATGTTTCAAGATAGTGATATCGACTGAATTATCATCGCTGTGCGCGAACACACGGTGCCGATCCTGTTCATTACTAACATGATGTTATCACCGGATGTCAACAATCATTGGGAGACAACGGTGACCAAACACAGAGTCGTCTAACATAATCAACTTGGCGAAGCCAATTTTCACAGGAACAGAGGAAAACTACTCTCGACATGTTGTAGATCCGACCTTTTGCAGCAGGATTAACATCACGAAAGCGCCAGAGATGGTCCAGATTGGTATAAGCCGCTACGGCCTACACTATAGGTGAACTGATCTAGTCTCTCACGCCACCACCAGCACTTATGCAGCTACCCAGATACACGAAAATCTTAACCACTATTTGCTCACTACCCAGGGTGGGTGTGTGTTCAGGTTCTACCAGTCATATAGAAGTACTTTACACTTGGAAGTTGTAAGGCACGTGCCATGCCTACGGACACTGACTACCAACTGATTAAGTGTGGATTGCATGGCTTGGGTATCATCGCACAGTAAGACAATATCATCCGCATACTCAGGATCGAAAAGTCTTTCTCCAGGTAACGGATCTACACCACCATTACTTACACATATAAAAGCGGTTTCCAGAACGTCGTCGATGTCAGAGTTGAAGAAGAATGATGCGATTAGGCAGCCCTGACTGATCCCACTCCTTTAATGGATTAGTAGATATGGTTGTATGCCCTTACTCTATCTGAGGTGTTAGTATATGGAGCTTTCAAGATGTTAAAAAACCTCTCAGACACACCTTTCTCCAATAGACAATCACAGATAACAATCCTGTCCAACAAATCGAAGGCGACTATTATGTCAAGAAAAATTACGATTGTTAGCCTGTGTAATAAATCTGACGGTGTTCTAACATTTGGCGGAGGATGAAGACATGACCAATACATCCTCGACCGGAACGAACACCAACCTGCTCCTCTCAAATCAACCTTTCTCGGGTTTTATGAAGTTCTATGAAGTATATCAGCCAACGCTTATCTATACTTTTCGGTTGGTTGATAGCTAGCCTTAAACTCAGCTCGGTTTGATATTTTGTTGCAACAGGAGCTGCAATCAATTTATTGACATCGATCCGTTTAGGACGATGAATTTGTTGGCCACTGAAATGTAAGGTAAGATTAGTGCAAACAAGGACATGATCCGAGTCCAGATAGGTACTTCAAAAGGAGTGGCAGTTTTGTACACAACCACGCCAGCGGTAGTTGAACGCGATGTGATGGGAAGACGCCAGGTAGAACATCAAGGACAACTGTGCTGAAAGTTAGTGTTAGTCAGAAACAGGTCGTAGTCTGCGCGAATTCGCAATAAACAGTAACCGTTATCTGACATCCAACCAATAAGTACCCATCAACCACCTAAACAACTCTCTTCTGTACCCAGACGCCTGACCTGAGCATTCAAGTCTCTTGGCTAGTACTACAATACCCGTCGAGAGCATCTTCTGTTGAAGAACTGTTAACTGGTAGTGAAACCCATCCATGGTCTCATCCGGGCTGCAATCTGTCAGAGTGTAAGTGGAGATGATGAAAAGACATCGTTCCTCACACCTATTTTTTTCTTACTTTGATGGAGCTTTCTAATCTAACAGCACATAACCGACTGTTAATGGGAATGCAATCGATCAGTGCTGCCTCAACTCTAGAGCTTACTACGACACCAACGCCAGCAAAGTCAGACGAAGATGCCACAGGGTCTCCGGATAAACGGACGCGAAACAAGCTTTCTGAAGCGACATATGAAGAGCGAATTTGTAGTACTTGACTATTCTTGAACATGGGTCTCGGAAAGACAACAAACATCGGTGTTGAGACATTCTAAAGACATAGCCACTTCTATCTGTTGTCCGTTCTGTATTAGTGTGCGAACATTGATGGAGGTTAGTTTGAATGTTATACGTGGTTTCAGAAAGACTGTTTCAGTATTCGTAGTTGATGGTAGCATTCAACTTTCGACCAGTCAGTGACTTCAGATCGTTTAGATAGAACAGGTTTTCCACCAGAGGCGAGTTGCTGTATATATTGAAAAATAAACTACGCAAAATGAGAATAAATAACGTGGTATAATTAAAAAAAAATAAAACGAATGTTATCATATGATTGTGAATATGATTTGTGTGAATGAGAGTGGAAGCAAGAGTAATTTTCCAGTGGTAGTTATCATTGATTTGTATCCATAAATTATCTTAAAAATTTACTAAGATCTGCATGTTGTTCAAAAAATTCTCACTTCGTTTTCAATGATAAGAAGCAAATCAATCCTGAAGACAAGTTGGATCAAAACATTAGAATTGAAATAAATATTGTTAAAGGATGAATTATTTCATCTTAAAACATATTTAATGAAGACATACCCAATAAGAAATTACATCCTTCTTCACTTTCTGCAAATTCAAATTGATCTTCCATACTTTTAAGAGAAGATAAAACTAACAATGAATCATTGAATACTTTCAAGCAATCAGTCAAACAATGAAGCCATTGTTCATATAATGATTCTGAAGAATTCATTTTATTCTGAAATCAAGAGAATTCATTACAAATTTAATAAATGAGTAAAAAACGAAGCACAGTTGTTTTTTTAGTGGAAATATAATCTTATATGCACCCAATCATCAATATTTTTTGTGAACAGAAAGTTTCAATGAATGTCATTGAAATGGTTTAAATGATTGATTATTTTTATATTGAACAAACTTAAATGTTGAAGTGCACATCATAGTACACTTTACAATTATTAAGTATTTCACTATTCTTTTTAGTCACCTCCATGTAACATAACATTAAAAACTGATGAATTCGATAAAGCTTGGTATTCTGCATGGATGTGTGAAGGTAAAACCTATATTTTGTCAAACACTTTGAGTAGTTTTTGTTTTATTATTATTCAGTGAAGATTATGCAGATAAAGTGAGAAATTGTTCGTTTATTTAAATATAAAAAGATAAGCGTTTTTATATAATATTTCTAACCTGTACATCATTATAAGCACTTTTCTGTATTGGTAATTTTAAAAGATTATTATTATTCGCTGTAGTTAGTGAATTCGAATGAGGAAGCTTATCAAGAATTTCAGTCGGTTTTGATACATTAACGGAATAACTAGTTTGAAAATTTCCAAACTCTTCATCAAATAGGGAGTTGTGAGAGCTAAAAAAAGAAGTAATTAGAAATAAAACCAATTTGAAGATATAAATTTTTAAGCATCATTAACAATCAAATAATGAAGGGGAAAAAGCATCTTCAAGATTAGGCTAGAAATAACAAACAAACAGGTATCATACAAAAACTAGTAACTACAATAGAATTAATTCAAGGAAATTTTCTTAAAATTCTGGTTTATCAACATGAACTGGATCAGACTTGAAAAAGTAATCTCACAGACACGAAAAAATCAGTTGGTATTTGGCTATGTACATCATATATGCTGTTGACAAATTACCCTAATATTTATACATCAACGATTACAGACCATAGTAGATCCTGTCCTGTCATTCGGCCATTAGGCACTAAGATAAGATGAAACATGTTTAAGTACAGTCGGGCTAATATTAGTTAGATAACTGCGGAGACAATAATATTTTCACTTGCATCCAGATCATAAAGGAGTAGTGGATTATCACACCGTGAATATATAAGTATTTAAAGAAAAACCACTTATATTATTAGTGAGAATTACGTTTGAAATTACTGATGTTGAAACGAAGTAACAAAACACGAAAATACGGTAGTTTAGCCAGTAACACCATGGTCATAAAAGTTAGTCCGGTTTTACTCGGATAGTTTCAAGTTATCAAACTGAATTAGGAATCTCGAAGAGTGGTTTGATTAATTTGGATAGTTTTAGATAGGCAACAAATTTGCAATCGATATATTAAATACGACATGATACCTACTAAAGGACTTATTAAAAGTCGGTAACATAAAGAATACGTGATTATAAGTATAGACAGATATCAAAAGTAAAACCAGATATTAACAAATAGAACAGAAGTGGTTAAAATCTAAGCATATTACTTGCCTCGTGACTGACTTTTTCTGGCCATTAATACCAACTTCTGTAGAGACTTTCGGGATATTATTACTATTATGCTTTGATTGCTTAACCTGAAAACAAAAAATCAGCAAGCAGATCAAAAATATATGATGACGATACTTTTCAAAAAGTTTACATGATTAACGAAGTTACAGGATTAGAAGTAGTAAGGTCGAATGCCAAGTTTAGTACAACAGTGGAGTTTTTGACAAGTCATGGGTCTTTATCGATTTAAAACCTGCTCTTTCTACCATATTTAGAACACCCATATACGTAGATCATAATCCGCTACACAAAAAACGAACGTAGTTAATAAAAACTCCCACAACTGGTTGTAATAAGACTATTCATTTACAAATATCTCCGGAAATAGATGGGTGAACATGGGCATCAAAGCCAACAGTATAAGAGTAAACGGTAGAAAAAGTACAGTAATTTGCTATATATTGGTAAATGCCAACTTAACACAGGGAAACAATGCTCAGTGTTGAACGTATACCATACTACCAAAACAGACCAAGCAATCAGAAATTTTCTTAAAAGCATGATCATATGACTAATCATGAATTAAGCGATGAGTCTCTGTTTCTGAAAGTCTTATTGTTTCAAAATTGAATCCAAACCCTAAACACTACCTATCCTTAAGACTAAATACGCAGTCATCAAGAGGTTCAGTGCCCAACAAATTGTTTACTTCAAGTAATTAAATAAACACAGATTAGATCTAAACAGTCTAAAATGTAACTGAAAATAATGAAACTATGACCATCATGACAAGGCACTAAATTGAGCTTTTTCCAACAATTGGAAATTAGATAGTATTACTAGTCTTATTTTATTGACAGTTGATATGACAAAAATAAAAAATAACTTACGGAAGTATTAAAAGAAGCAAAATCAGACCACTCAGGGTCATTTATAGATAGGGTTCCTGATGAAACGAAATGCATGAAGGGATCTGGTGTCTTGTAAACAGAATTATTTAATGTGCTAGAATCTGTAGATAACTGAATAGACTGGTGACAAGAGTCGTTATCCAATCGATTGGAAAATGCAGAAAAGGCGACGACGGGAGGTTGGAAGGGAAACTTTGAACATCCCGAGATTACTGGATCTCGAAAACTAGTTATGGGATTTCCATAAGTAACTACCTCCGGCCCAGAAATCACATCTGTAGAATTAGACGGCCTACTGGAGTTAGGAATTTGTATCATAGGGACAGGTGGACATATTTGTTCGTAAAGTGATTGGATAGTAATATTTTCGGAAAGAGAACATGATTGGAATTCCCATTGCTTACGTTGTGCCAGGCCGATTAAAGCTAAGGCAGTCACTAACTCAGTCGGTGTAAACCAACCAGGTTGGGTGCAGCTTGTAAGTGACCAAATATGATACAATGCTTCTGTGCTCAAATTGGACGAGCGAAATATCTCGTAAATTATTGAACTGTCGAGACCATAACTAAGAAAGATAACAAAATATTTAAATGGCGAAACGTTTAACAGATCAACCCAAAATGCTATTTACAGAAATAAACAGAAACTGGGAAATATTTGTGGCACTCTGTGGAGTGGGAAGCTAACTAATCTGGCTTGAGCCATACCTCAGTACTAAATGGAAGCAATTCACTCACAAATAACATTTAACTGAATGTGGCTGAAATACAACGAACCCATTTTACAGAAAGAATAACTAAATCGTAATCGTAGTGGAATGCAATTCAGATGAAATTATTTGATTTACAAACCGAGAACAGTAACTCTTGTGAGAGACAACTGAAATTATTGACGATAGCTTGTTTACTACAAATTCGAATTTTTATTTTATTTGAACACATAAATATTGGTACAAGGGGGCACCAGATACATATGCGCCACATAAATCTCATTTGATATGTGTGAGGGCTGTGATATTGCCCGGGTGCCCAAACCGGATCAGGTGGTTTTCTTAGGAGGCCACCCAGAGCCTTCGACCTGAAGGTCTGATCCACAAGGCAGTGGCGCAACGTAAGGAGATGTAGTCCCATGGTAGCCGGTGACCAACGATTGGTTCATACGCCATTTATTCCTTCAGGATACTGGAGCCCATGTGCACTATTGGTTTGAAATCAGGGTTTTCCAACTCCTCTAGGTGGACTCTCCGTGTCCACCAACCCGGTTAAAGCGCCGAACATTCGCCTTTCATCCTTTCGATTTCGTAAACAATACCCCGGCCACGAGAAGGCAGTGAGTAAGACTTCCCTGGCAGTGGTTGTATGCACGTGGCCATGTGAGGGCATTTCGATGAGAGAGAACTCTCCCCTCTCTCGGTCGCACCAGGGCATTTAGGGATCTCGTTATAAAAATGTTTTATTTTTATTACTTTTTACAACGTTGGCATTTCGTTTCGTGTCATACATTTCTTGGTCCCCACTGAATCATCAAAAGTCCTCGATCATATTCAGGTTTATGAATGTAAAAGTGAAAATCTACGGAAAAGTTGATACAGGCAAGCAGCCTCAGGGTGGTCGGATAAAAAACACAATATGGTAGGAGAGATTTCACATGAGCTTTAGAATCCCAGTACAACTTGTCCAAAGTCAGTGCTAGCAACTTTTAAGTAAAGACAGTGAGGAAAATTGTGAAAGGACCTATTTGTGAGTCTACTAGCTCTATACTTTTAAAACCCAATGGCCAGCACCAGGAATGCTTTGGGATAGATATAACTAACTTTTAAGTCTAACCTATCCTAACTCCCCTTCCGTTATGAAAAGCCAGCAGTACTGGGGCTGCTGGATATCTGTAGAAAACACCTTGCTACCATCACACTACAGTCTGGTAACCAACATGACTTCGCTCGAAAATATCAAGGAACGTATCCCAGTTAATATAGCTCGACTGAGTCATCAAAATAAGCGAATTCGACCACCACGTAAAGGTAGTACCTACGTTTGGTATAAATGACCAGTGTACACCTTTTCAAGAAATTCGTCAATTCGCACAAAAACTTATGACATTTGAATCTCATGATGACTATCAAGTAAGGTGCTGCACAAATTACTTTGATGAGTTCTACTGTGGAAACAATTTATTCTATGCCAAATCTGATGGCTTAAAATCCAATAGTTATCGAACTTCAACTTTATCACTCAATATTCCATCTTGTGTTTACTAACAATCATATGGAGCCAAAAATTTCCTTAGATAACGGTGCCACATATGCAACTCTTTAGTACTGGAGATAAGCTATGAATAGGAAACTACCGGCGTCCATTATATGAAGCCTTCAAATCTTAGAAATTGTGGGATAGTATACAAATGAAAACTTTTAGTTACTAAAAACGCCAACCACAAAATATATTTAAATAAGTGGTTTAATAGCAAATCTAAGCACTTTGGTTACAGCTAAACTTAACTTAAGAAAAAGGTACCAACCCAAACTTTTTGGCAAAAATTTAAAACAATTAAAGGGTGGTCTAACATCGATCGACTCATGATCTTAATCAAAAGCCTAACAATCTCCACAATCCCATACTGATAATTAAAATAATGTTAGGTTATTTTTTCAAGCCCTTTGTTTACAAAGCCAATAGTCTCATAAGATTCCACGTTCTTGTGTTTATTTGTGTAATTTGGCTATTTTGTGATGATAAGAATGGATACAAATATTTCAGTTTATACCACATGCTTTCAGACTTTATGAATCTCATACATATACACGAACGAACAAGTTAGAACAACTTATTAAGGAAGACAACATTCTAATTAACACGACAGTGCTGGTAGAAAAATGGATGAGATCAAAATGGCATAATCATATATATGCATGTTAGGACAAGTTCCTATAAGAAACCCCTGACAATAAATTATAACTACAACAAAGAGAAGGTAAACAAATTTTTAGGACGAAAACACAAAAATTTTAGTATTTATAAAAACGTTAGTTTGGATACATCTTTTAGGCAGTTAATTATGTAAATACTTTTTAGTGTTTGTTCGAGATTGTGATACATGTTTCATCGAACACATGAGTTGCAGTTTGTGTGATCTTTAATAGCAGTAAGACGTTTACAGTCTTGAGAGTTGTGTGCGATACTTTACAAATAATAGATAATGAAGCTTTCGATGTAAAGGCGGACAAAAGGCTTTATTATTTATAACTCTAGAATCTCGTAATCCTGGAAATGATAAAGAAAATCTAAATTTTGTCGTTTAGCTAACTTGACTTATCCAATATAAAGAGTCAGAGGGATTTATTCTTAGTATATTTAGAGTCTCGTTGTAACCTCGTAACATCGTTGGTATATGTCAAAGATTAAGTTTTCAAGCAAAACAGAAATTCTCTGACTTCTTTTTTTGACAGCCGCTTATACACTGTTGTATTAAGTGAAGTTGCACGGACTTGAAAGAATGGGATTAACCATCATCATTGTTTTATGTTTTTTTGACGAGAAAGCTTTAGACCAGGTTCAATTAGGCTCAGGAAACTGTCCTTAGAAAGGATCAAAATTAGGAATAGAGAAAACCCTTAACCTGAAGACCACTGACATCACAAACGTTTCTAGACAGACAATATTACTATCAACTACCACTGGGGACATTGGACAGATTATTGCTCCTCCTGAATCATATCCTTGGAATTCGGACTTACTCCTGTACGAACAAGTGTCTATCAGCATCATACTTGACCAAAGAAAAAACGCAGTGAGACCACTTCGAGCCCATTTCGGAGAAATAAAACGCACGTATCTAAGGTAGGACTAGCTAAGCATATAGCCTACAACCTAAAATGACCTGGAAATATTTTTAGACTGCTGTGAAAACATCAGTGACACTTGTTAACAACATGGACCAGAATATTAAGAAATCTCGAAAGCCCCCACTAACTTAGCGGATTCTCGGAAACTGTTCTCAGCAGCTGCATCTGGTAATTACCGGAAGCTCTTCCAGCTCATCCGAGCCACTGGCAGCAAGAAGTCTGGTGTGGGTGAAACAATCTGCGAGGATGATGAGATGCCAATCACTAACATCCTTCGACGTCTTGGACGGTGGGCAGAATTTTTCGAAGGGCAGTTCAACTGGCCTGCTGCTCCGACAACATCGGTCAGACTGTCCTGCCCTGCATGGCCGGTGACGACTGATCCACCAAACGAGGAGGAAGTCCGCAAGGAACTCCAACTCTTGAAGCGTTACAAATCACCTGGCCCAGATGACTTACCTCCGGCTCTTTTTAAAGATGGTGGTGACTTTTTGACTAAGGAATTGACGACGTTGTTTACAAAGGTTTGGGAACTAGAGAGTGTGCCAACGTCATGGAATGAGTCGATAGTTGTCCCTATCTTTAAAAAGGGTTCACGTCGTTCCTGTAACAACTATCGGGGGATAAGTCTACTTCCGATTGCGTTCAAGCTATTGGCTTCCGTCATACTTCGTAGGTTGTTCAAAACCCGAGAAAGATTGACTCGCGAGGAGCAGGCTGGGTTTCGTTCTGGTCGAGGATGTATTGATCATATCTTCACCCTCCGCCAAATGTTAGAACACCGCCATACTTTTCAAAGGCCAACAATCGTGGTGTTTCTTGACATCAGGGCTGCCTTCGATTCGTTGGATAGGACTGTTCTCTGGGATTGTCTATTGAAGAAGGGTGTGCCTGAGAAGTTTATTAACATCCTAAAAGCCCTGTATAAAAACACCTCAGGCAGAGTGAGGGCATACAACCACCTTTCTCCATTGTTCCATTCGAGCAGTGGGGTTAGGCAGGGTTGCCCAATCTCACCATTCCTCTTCAGCTTTGCCATCGATGACATTCTGGAAACAGCTCTGATGAATGTAAGTAATGGTGGTGTGGATCTGTTGCCTGGAGAAACACTTCTCGACCTTGAGTATGCTGTGTGATAATGTCCAAGGCATGCAATCCGCACTTAATCAGTTGGCAATCAGTGTCCGTAGGTATGGTATGTGCTTTGCACCTTCGAAGTGCAAAGTACTTCTACAAGACTGGCAGGATTCCAATCCTGTACTCACCCTGGATGGTGAGCAAATAGAAGTAGTCGAGAAGTTCGTGTATCTGGGTAGCTGCATAAGTGCTGGTGGGGGTGTGAGTGATGAGATCAATGCACGTATAGTGAAAGCCAGAGCGGTTTATGCCAATCTGTGCCATATTTGGCGCCTTCATGATGTCAGTCTGGCTGCCAAAGGCCGGATCTACAATGCGTCGGTGAGAGCAAGTTTACTCTATGTTTGGGAAACCTGGCCTCTCCGAGTTGAGAATGTTAGACGACTCTCTGTGTTCGATCATCGTTGTCTCCGAAGGATTGCTGACATGCAGTGGCAACACCATGTCAGTAATGCAGAGGTTCGGCATCGTGTGCTCGGGCACAGAGATGATAATTCAATTGGTGTCACCATCTTGAAACACCGACATCGGTGGCTTGGACATGTTCTCCGAATGTCGTCCCAGAGAATTCCACGTCGTGCATTATTTGCCGACTCTGGGACTGGTTGGAAGAAGCGGAGAGGTGGTCAGTGCATGACATGGTGTCGTGGCATGAAAGAAAGCTGCAAAGGACTGGCTTGTGTTGGTCCTTCACGACTCCCTGGTTGGGGTCTGAGAGATGGTGCTACACAGTGGCTAGAGACGTTATCAAATATGGCTCAGAATAGAAGCCAGTGGCGATCCTGCTGTAACCTTCTTTTACTTTCTTCATAAAAAGTGGTTCTGTCTCCCTTACCTGAAAGATTTCTTCCGATTGTACCTTTGCGTTCCCTGATTACTAGCACATTACCTTACACCAATCTCTTCGTTATTGTTCTCTCTTTTTTTGTTGCGCTCCTTAGCTTTTTTTTTCTTTCTTTGTATTCCTCTCGAATTTTCATTGTTTTGTGTGGCGCATATATATTGGCGCTCTCTTGTACCAATATTCATATGTCCAAATAAATAAATAAACACGTGGCCCAACCATCTCAGTCGATGAAAAGACGAACTGCTGTGCAGTATACTCGCCCCTTAATTTATAGACAGGTATCTCGCCTTCGCCATAGATGACGTAAGTTGGCAAAAGCCAAACGAGCTTTCTGAATCCTTGCAGAGATTTCTTCAGACGCTAACCCATTAGGGCTGATCAGACTTTCGAGATAAGTGAAGTTGTAGACGCATTCGACCACTTCCACTTATTTATATGCCTAACTTGAATTTATACCAACAGAGGAAACATGAAAGAAATAAAAATTGATAAGTGAAAATATGTTCTGTCAAAATAACATTTATACCTACTAATCAACAACTTCCACTAACCTACTAATTCAAATTGATAGTGACAGAGATTTACACGAAAGCTTTTATCCCTAGAAATATTTTGATCCATATCAGTATAATGTTACAATGGATCATTGTGGCTGAAATTTTAAATTAATGCTTGTGGTGTAAACTCAGAGATTTCCTTTATCCAGTCTAATTACTAGGCGACTCAAGACGTAGGACATATTTTTTGGTTCAAGTGACCACACCATATCAGCACAGCAAGTTGAGATTTAGTAGAAGTAATGGTATGAAGACGTAAAGAAAACTATTGACTAATATATTTACTAAGTGTAGACTATATAAAGATAATTCTTAACATACCTTGTTGTAGCGGCACGAATGGCATCGCCATAAATTGGTGGTAGAGAAGAGAGATTCACTAACCATGAGGGTTTAGCTAAAGAAGTGGCTGGAGAAAACGAGTTTGCAGTATTCAGATATCCAACCTCCGGAAAATCAAGTAAATGCGATGGGTTCTCACACATTTGTTCAGTTGAAAATACACCAGAGATTTGATCTGAGAACTTACCACGATTAGGCTAGTTTTTTATAAAAAAAAAAGCGCGCACGAAAGATAAAATGGATTAGGATCAACCTAATACGTGTGTAGCGGTTCGTGATGATGATTGATAATACGATGAATAAGACTGAGTTACTTGTGGTGTAGGGGAGATGACCGTTTGCTGGCCAAAGGACGAGTATAGTGTGCAGCAGCTCGCTGTTAATTCATGGCCGTGAAATGTGGCTTTAAAAAGAGGTTATTCACAGGATGTTAGTATTTATTCATACGTATTTTCGAAGTACTGCTTGTGTATGTCAGGACCTCTGGGCGAATAACGTTATGGTAAGACGCAGGTTACCAAGGAAAGTATGCTGAGTAAATCGGTCGAGGTGGCCAGGACATGTATTAATTAAGCCCAACCACCGCCTACCTCAACACAATGGTGGCTGGTGCAGGAATAGTTTGTAAGGAAGATATGAGAAACCAAACCAAAACGTAGCATCAGTTCATGAAGTTATAAACTATTGCACCGACTCGTTTACGTAAGTGCTAACTACTTATTTAGGGTCCATGTGATTTTTGTAACCAGTAGTTAGAGACTTTGGTTGACTTGGCTCAGAATAATTCACAATGCAGCAGATGGATTCACTTTTTGTGTTCCCTAACATACCAAGTTTCCATATTACCTTATAACTTTTTAATCCATGGATCTACATTTTTTAAACCATACCTTTTATGCCTTTTCTATTACCCCCAATACTGTTACTACCTATAACACTCTGGGTTCTCGGTGTGCTGTGTTGAAACTTGAACAAACGCATGTGACTAGTTCATTTACCAAATACACGTTCATGTAATCGGCCATGAGCCACACTGCTTTTATGAAGGCTACTAATAAAACGCGGGTATCTAAACAGAATTAGATGAAGTGGATTTTATTCATGTAACCAACTAATCAGAAGCCTGGAGTTTTGGCCATTAAACGCACTACCGGTAAGATTGCATGGAAAATATAGCAAGAACTGTACACAAATAACTATATCATCACTGAAAATAAAAACCAGTTGAAAATTGATTACACAGGGATAATGTCAGCCATTCAATAATATTTGAAATGCAAATCAAGATGTTAAGGTTTGGCATTAGGGGGATTACATAGTAAGTCAAAATAACAATGCACAAACGTGCATCAGCTTAATTCGCCAAGCCTCATACGGTAAAGATGAAGTTAACAAAATAAATAACAAATAAATCGAAATAATCGTTATACAAGGGTATGGTTTGATAAGGGATGGGTTCGCAAAATGAAATCTAAAAAATAATAGTTGAAAAATAGGTTACATGCCTTAAAATCTATCTCAATAACACGAATATATGCATCTTTTTTAGTTGATTGGGTCTAGACTATATTATTATTGCATACCTTTCACTAATGGCTTATATATTTTGCCTCATAACCTCTCATTACAACCATTGGAAACATATTTACATTTCATTGTTTTTTCTTTACCTGACGTTGCCAATCCGATAAAGCAATCTTAAATAGTGTGTGAGTAATCGATGTCAGTGCTTTAATACCATAGTGAATAATGGATTAGTAACTATAACTGAAGAAAGAATTACTTGAAAATAACATGGAAATACATATATATAGAATCTACAAACCGTATTGTGAGTAGGAATGCAAGAGTGAGGAGCTACAGGTAAAGTTGTTTTGACCTTGGAAACAGATGAATTATTATCTAAAAAGATGTAGCGTATCGATCTGGGCATACCATCTTTGCTTGTGACGACAGAATTGTCCAGTGCAAGCTTTTTGATATATTCATCAATATGAATTTCCTCTGTCTTTCGCGATAGCATTTGTAACCTTAACTGTGTACTTTCGAATCTCCTTCGCTGTTGTTCGAGTGATGGACCGCACGAGCTAGGACTAAGCAAATAAACAAGAAAGTTCGCTTACGTGGAAATATTTGATTTACTAATCATTTTGATATCATTTATTCAGGTAAGTTACCAACAACCTCGAAAAATACGGTCATGTCGATTTCACATGACACTGAAATAAATCACGCCATTATGGCATCAATCCAGTGTTCAAGAAAATCGATCTGAAAAAGTGAAATCCAACTGAAACTGAGTAGATGTTAAACCATAATAAAAGACTACTTTGATGGTCACGAAAAAACACTTCAGTTGTCCGTTTTTAGGAACCTAGATTCATTGGTATGCGAATAGAACACTAAATTACATTGAATGAATAAAACAAATTCTCAGTAAACCACCAGACGATGTGTAATGAAATCGTTGGAGAAAAATAACATGAAAATCTATCGACAGGTCTAAAGGGAAAAAGGAAATAACTGTTACTTAGCTTACGCCATGTAACCGGAATCACTAAAGCCGTAACTATAGGAAATATAAAACAAGTATTTGGTGTGAAGCTGAATGCAAAACATTTGGCAGATGTTTATAAAATGAGGCCAGGAAATACAGTGAATATGTCAATTTTGCCTTCAGCAATATATTTGATGTTATTTTCGAAATTTTACTGGATTCAGAGCAATAAATTTACTTAGGGCGGTGGTGGATATTAGTGCTTATCAACATATATTACAGTCAAAAGAATGAAGGATTTCCATTACTGCTACGGCATATCAAGATTTGACAGAAGCACAACGAACTGTTAGCCGATGATAACATATTATTAATGAAATGATCACCAAGATATCTGACTGTTGAGTATCGAAATTTCGATCCTAATTAGGATACTTATGTATCAATATCCATCGAAATTCCTAAATCTGAAGTCGTTTCACAATAACTTGCAAAAACCATAGAAGCCAAAAGCTATAATGAGAAGTTTGTAACTTATAGATTTTTATCTCATGAATAAAAAACGAAATAGGACATAAGCAAACATTGAGCTATACTATATCGATCAAAATTTAAGTTTCTCATTCAGCATACCATTGAATATTATTCGACGCATTATCAAACTATTCACAGAAAGAATCACAGTGAAATAAAATCATCATGAATTATCTGGGTACACTCAAAATAAAAAAGAACTAGTTATACACCAAAACAGCAGACTATGACCTTGCGTCGAATATACCGGGTACCAACTGAATCCAATGGTTCAAAATGGTTCAAATGGTAGTGGACGGAATAGAAGAAGCTTTCGCTTAACAGGCTTCCGTGTCTAGTAGCAGGGGATCACTAAATCCTCCAGGCAGGAACCTAGGTATGATAACAATAAAAGATGAAAAGAAATTAGTAAGTCAGTCTTTAGTCTTCAGTAATAAGGATAGTAGGTTGATGAACCTGTGTTAATCCTGACACATTGCTTTCCAGTGAAGGTCCAGCTTTTCCTTGAAAGTATTCACTGATGGGGCTGATACCACTTGTTCGGGTAAGGCGTTCCAATGATTGACTGCTCGATGAGAAAAACGGGATCCCACTTTAAGTTTATTAGATCGTGGTTTATGAACTTTCTTGCTATGACCGCGGAGATTATTAGTGATGGAGGGAGCAAAAAGATAAGACATATTAACACCCAAATAATAATTAAAGATACGAAATGCCAGTATAAGGTCACCTCGTGTCCTACGATACGACAAGCGGAAAAGGTTTAGGCGTTTTAAGCGCTCATCGTAAGGGAGTCTAGAAAGACCCTTCACTAATTTCGTTCCCACACACTGACACGCTCAAGTGAGTTAGCATCCTTTACTAGACACAGGCTAGCTGCTTGGATACAGTACTCTAAATGTGGTCTAACATATATGGGATATAAAATTCGAAACGTTTCCTCGTCGAAGTGACCATAACGCACGAAAACCTTTGACAGCGGCTGCTTTGCAATGCGTAGTTGTTTTTAAATCATGACTTAATACTACTCCTAAGTCTTTATGCTCTTGAACGCATGGAAGAGGTTTACCCTCAATAGTGTAACGGTAACTATTACCGTGACCGACGTGCATTAGTACACTCTTCCTAGCATTGATTTATAAGCCCCACTCTCGAGCCCATCCAACTAAATCGTCTAAGTCAGCTTGAAGATCCAGATGATCAGCCTCACCTATTGTTCTCCAGATTTTTACGTCATCCACAAACAATACTGTCGACGACCTAAGCAACAGCGGTAACTCATTAACGTAGAGAAGGAAGAGCAGAGGGCCTAAGATGGTGCCTTGGGGTACACCACTTTTGACCGGCTTCCAATTGGATAGCGTTCCATTGACCCTAACTCTCTGTCTGCGGTCACATAAGAAATTTCCTATCCACTCATGCACAGTACCTATTATTCCGAAGCTCGTGAGCTTCTGCATAAGACCTACGTGTGAAACCTTATCAAACGCTTTGCTAAAATCTATGAATATCACGTCGACAGACAGACCGTGATCTAGGGCTGCTGTCCAATCCTCCCTCGCAATAAGCAAGTTAGTCAAGCATGAACGCTTGTTAAGAAATCCGTGTTGCTCAGGAGCTAACAGATTGTGTAAATCTATGTGGCTTAGCAACCTAACCCGAATTATCTTTTCGAGTAACTTAACGACTATGCTAGTTAGACTGACAGACCGGTAGTTAGATACTATCTGTCGCTGACCGTCCTTAAATATAGGACTAACTATAGCGTCTCTCCAATCTGTAGGGAGTTGAGCGAGTGAGAGGGACATGTTGAATAGTGTCGCAAGCGGTTTTGAAATAATGTCCGCAAGAGATGACAGCAACCGTGGATGTAACCCGTCAGGGCCCGGTATCTTACCAGGTTTGAGGTTAGTTATCAACGGAAGGACAGTTTCCTCAGTCACCTGTACAGATTCAATGACTGGTATCCTGGTGTGAGTGGGACAAGTATTTGTTACAATAAACGTAGAGAAGACTTCGCTAAAATAATCTGAAAAAGTCTCAGCTTTTGCTCGATCTGATTCAGCTAGTAATTCTGAATGTTCGTGTAACAGCGACGGGGGAATACCATCACTACGTTTCATTTGCCGTTTAACATACGAAAACAATCGTTTCGGACAAGTACGGCTATCATATACTAACTGTCGTTCGTAAGTTATACGGGATTTCGCTATGGTTTTCTTACAGATATTACGGTATTTTTGATACTCACGCTTAAATGGTGCATGACCTGTCAACAAGAATAAGTCCCAGAAATGTTTCCTACGCTTTAACAGCTTCCGGGTTTCCTTATCAATCCATGGAGGGCAATGTGATAGCTTACGTGCTGACCATGGGATAAACGGCGACGTTACGGACTCGAATGTAGCCTTAAACTTATTCCATTCATCTTCGATCAATCCATCCGCGTCGACCGACCAATCGGTCAAGATAGCACGGTTTCTGATTTCCGGAATATTAGCTCGCCAGATATTGGGACGGGGTGGAGCAGATATGAATTGTATACCATGCGTCCTAAACTTAAAGTGAATTACAACGTGATCACTGTTCACTAGTGGAGGAAGGTGCTGGATATCAAAGACATCCTCAGAGTGGTGGGTGAGGGCGAGGTCCAGCAGTGACGGTTCATTTTGCAAATCAATTTGTGTCGGTTTTGTGATACATTGTACAAGTGCACACTGAATAACGGTAGATAAAAGGTCGCTATCAAAACCACTACCTGGAGCTGTAAGCTCTATCCAGTTGATATGCGGTGCGTTGAAGTCTCCAATGATGAGACAACATTCTGCCATACTCCAAGAACCGATGTGTCTTAGGATAAAGTCGTCAGCCAGACAAGACGGACTACGGTATATTCCCCTATAATCACTAACGCATTTCTAAATTTAATCTTAAAACATGCTACCTCACATGTATCACTAACATGGGCCTCCGATATGGTTGATTGTATACGAAAGTGATCCCTAACGTAAAACATTATACCCTCCCCTTGCGACTTGAAACTCTATCACTTCTGATACAGATATAACCAGCAATGAAAGGAGAACAGTCTATATCAACGGTGAACCAATTTTCTGTAACAACGATTATATCGGGACATAATTCTTGCACCATCAGACTTAGCTCGGACGTTTGATTTCTAAGATTACGAGCGTTCGTGTAGCACACACTTAAGGTGTTTTGGAAATCAATCGTTCTACCCATACAGGCCTCGGAAGCATTGGCTTCCAAGACCGGACTACCCGAAAACCCTTAATGGTAAGGTTATTTTCGCCATTTAATTTGCGAGTCCTCAACTCCGTAAGAGCATTCTTCCACTTGATTCGATCCTCAAGCGGCCAATCTGGTCGAATACGGATATTTGTGGCACGAGTTTTTAGTGCGCTTTTCAATAATATGTCTCTTTCTTCGAAACTCCTGAGAACCAGCTTCAGGATCCTTCTTGGTTGGGTCTCGCCTCCAACCCATTTACCAAGTCGTATTACTTTTGTAATATGTACCCCTGAAACCTCTTCAGGTAGTACGTTTCTTACCACAGATTCCATCAACTGCAGATCACGTGCATGTCTCTTAGGAGGGTCGTTGTCTTTCGACTCCTCTAGATTCCAAATAATTAAACTAGGGATGGGTTTAGCTTCTTTTGAAACTGTGTTCACAGCTTTCGACCGTGACGTTAGATCCTGTATTTTAACTACTGGAAGCTTACGATTAGTTTTTATTTTAACAGAGTCCTGGGAGTCAAGCGAATGACTCACAACAATTTCAGACGAAGCTTTACTATGAGTCTTTGGCGGATCGGTCTGAGAGTCCACCAAGGACTTACCAAGTAAACAGTCATTAGTTTCAGCTATCTTTCCTACTCTTCTGCGTTTTCGCGTCATCCATTTTCCATCAGTCGAAACGTCTATATTAGAACAACTCGGGACAGTAATTGTTTTATCTAGGTCACCGGTTGCTGCTGTAGCAATATGGCCACCAACGTCTAATGACGTGTCACTCACTGATCGTTTCGGGGGAAAACGTTTAACTGCGGGTTGCACAGATAGATGTCTGGCTTGCGCCGTGATAGCACTTACGACATTATCGCAATCTTCGCCATCCGTACCAATGTTATCAGTACAGCCCTCATCAACCTTCTTATTAGCCAACACCAGGAGACTAATTGCTTCCTGGATAAGCAATGTTTTGCTCGAGCAACAAAAACTACAAAGCCAATGAGAGTTGGGCTTTGAACACCTTTTATATGCAGTGGGGCTTAATCGGGTGCACATCTTATGGAACCACTTATTACACTCATCACATTGCATCCCTTCATCCACGGGAAATAAGCAGTATGGTTGTCCACATTTATGAGTAGACCTAGCCACCTTGAAAGGCAACTATAACGGTGACGAAAACAGGATATGTAGAAGGATTTTCAAACCTTAACTAAATAAACCAAGTAAAAGTCGACCAAGTATGCTTCGATGCAATAAATACACAGAAGCAAAATCGAAAAACTCAATAAAATATCACTTTGACTGGGGTAGATGCAATTAAAGTGTAAACAGTAGTTTTGATGCGTAATTTACGATCAAAACAGTTAATTAACTCAACGAGAAAGAATACCACTGTCCTTTTAAACAGAGCGCAAGTCATAGTGTGATTCTATCCTTAGTCCTTAAGAATAGATCAAGTTGCCTCTCTAAAGACGCGAGGGCAGTCGCTTAGACTAACTCGGCCGGCAGTGAATTCCAGAATTCGGCAACTCTTAAGGAGTAGAAGTTGAGTCTACAGTCCGTTCTGCTATGTTGTGTCTCCAGTTTTGGGTGTTACCACTTAGGTTAGTGTTGAAACTAAGCTTAAGTAGGTGTTTGAGAGGATGTCCAGAAGTGTTAAGGATACTGTAATCCATCAGAAGGTCACCTCTAAGACGCCTATACTCTAATGGATAAAGGTTTAGTGATTGAAGGCGCTCTTCATAACGTTTAAATCTGAGCCTTCGAACTGATTTCGTGGCTCGCGGTTGGATACGTAGAGCTGACACATTCAACCGTTTGAAATTCCAGCGCCTGTTGTTAGTAGAATATCTTAGCTCAGTTTCGCTGACAAAACTGAAAGCTATAACGGCGTGATCGCTTCCCCTCAGGGGAGCCAGGATTGAGAGGTTGTCAACTAGAAATCCTTCGTCTGTTAATACACAATCTAAGCGCGACGGTGTCTGACTTTCTCCAAGGAGTT